TCGGAAAGTTCATTTATGGTATTCCTAAGCTAGATTTTCTTAGACAACACTTTGAGTTAACGAAGCTCACGGGAGAGTGGAAAATTGGTCCGCTGGATGGAAGACACATTTTGATTCAATTAGCGAATGAGGAAGATTATACTCGGTTGTTTGCTAGGCGTATGGTCTGGTTTGAGAACTTCGGGATGAAGTTGCTAAAATGGTCTTCTAGTTTTGATCCCCAAGCAGAGGCTCCGGTCATCCCTGTTTGGATCATGTTCCCTTATTTGAAAGTTCATCTTTTAATCATGAGGTTCTTTTCTCTTTAGTGGCTATGTTTGGGAGACCGCTGAAATTAGATGCTCCTACGTATAAACTTACGCGACCCTCCTTGGCTAGAGTTATGATCAAAATAGATGTTACTTTACCTCCTCCGGATGAGGTTTGGATCGGTTTGGAGCATATAGGTTACTGGCAGAAGGTAAGTTAGAGCAACACCCTTCCTATTGTAAACATTGTCAGATGTTTGGACATGATCAAGAGCACTGTTTCAAGTTTAATCCTGATTTAAGGAAAAGGGAGGGGAGGATTCAGCAGCAGGGGCCTGATGGTGCGGCTGCTAGGTCTGTACCAGCTGCTGCCCCCCTTCTTCTTCCCTTACGCATGTGACAAAGGGCAGGATTGATGTTCCTGACTCTGCTCCCTCCGATCCTCCTCTGAAGGGGGCTTCTGTTTCTGTCTCTATGCCTCACATTACTACTCCTATAACTCTTTCGAATATTGATACTAATCAGGGGTTGATTGTTTTTAATGGTATTGCACCTAGTGAGACTAATACGCAGGTTTTTAATGGTCTGACGCTTTTTATTATTCCTATTTCCTCCCCTCCTCTTAATTCGATGGCTGCTGGTAATCAGGATGGTGTTTCTGTACAAGATTCAGTTATCCTGGCTAGGGATGAAGGTACGGGTTTGGCTGATGATTTGACTTCAGAACAGGTTATGGTGTCTGAGTTAATCGCCCCTGTGGATCCTCCCTCTGAAAATACTATTTCTGCGATCGATGAGAAGCTGGATGACCCTGCTGAGCAACCTACATATTCAAACCCTCCTCAGTTGCATGAAGCATTAGGTGAAGAGGAGATATTTCATGTTTGACACATACTTGAACCTACAGCCATTGCAACAGTTAACAATCTTTCTTTTGGTGCTCATCAGCTGTTATCTGCCCGACGTCTGTTTACCAACACGATGATCAGATGAAGCCGGTCTTCTGAGGAGGAATGGCAGGTCTATTCAAGGAGGAAGAAGAAGATTGTAGGCAAACTTCAGCTTGAGAACCTAATTGATGATACTTTGATTACTTCGGGAAATGACTCGACACTCAACAATTTGTTATCTGGATCGTCACTAAAGTTTAGACAGTTGCAGCTGCCCCCAACAGATCCTTAGTGAGCCTATTGACACATTGCTTTCACTGTTAAAAGAGAGCACTAAATGCATAGTATATGTGAAAAGAATTATTGTTGCAAGAGCACTTGCATGTATTCTTAAAAGCATGAAGTTTCTAAAATTTTAGAAATGTGATTTCCTTGTTGGCTTCCATTCTGGATTAAGGAACATGTCACGGAGTAAGATGAATGCCATTGTCGAGAAGTTCTCCTCAGGAGAGTCCTTTTAGGATGCAGGTTGAGGATCCGATCGTCTCAAGCCTTGAACTTTTGGGGAGAGTTGTTTTCGATCTCTTTGGATTGCGGCATGTCGGTTCTTTGGTCTGCTCGTGGGATTGCTTTTGGATAATCATTGCTGACCGGAAGATTTTTTCTGTACATCTCTTTTATAGTCACTTCTCTAGATATACTAGATCACAGGTTTACTTCTTTTTGGGTTTTTGCTATTTGGTTTTGGGTATACCTGTAATTTTGGAAATTTCTTTTTGTGTGAGTTGTATTGTGGGGAGAGGAACCCCTAGGGGTGTGTTTAGATGTCTTTTTGGTTTCTTAGAAAGGGATCCTCCCCCCCTCCATTTACCTTTTCTTTTAATTAACGCGTAGGAAGCCACTGTTGCTCTTTCCCCCATACATACATACATACACATACATATATATACATACATACATACATAAATGTACATAATATATATATATATATATATATGTATGTATGTATGTATGTATGTATATATATGTATGTGTATGTATGTATGTATGTATGAAAGAGCAACGGTGGCTTCCCACGCGTTAATTAAAAGAAAAGGTAAATGGAGGGGGGAGGATCCCCTTCTAAGAAACCAAAAAGACATCTAAACACACCCCTAGGGGTTCCTCTCCCCACAATACAACTCACACAAAAAGAAA